AATCAGTGGAAATTCACTTGCAGGGAATGTGAGGTTTAGAATTGTTGTTCGAATCCATTCAGTGCATATGTCTGTTTGAAGATTTGATTGATGTAACATCTAGATCTCATTGTTGACGTTTTTAACTAACATTTTGGAATATTATACCGTTTGTTTCGAATGTTATCTCTAGACTACGCTCAAAATTGAATATATCTCATAATATTTATTTGGGTCAACATGTCATGCAGTGTTATGGTCTCTAATACAGCCCGATACACGTATTTCGGCCTTGAAGACTCGTCAGTCGGGCGGGCCCTTTGTCTTTACCCCATCCTTTTGGATTCCCCTACATCTCCCTATAAAGAATAGGCGGGGGGGACTAACGATTTACACAATCGCCGTCAATTGAAAAATCACTCGATCGCTGATTTTGGACACTCGATTGCTCTTGGCTGGTATTTTCGAAATATGGCGGGATGTAGGGATTAAAAATGAAGGGCCTGCCCGACGACGAGGCTGCAATCCCGAAACATGCGGATTTGGCTCTATTAGAGCCCATAGCAGATCACATCACTTGTTGGCTCAATAATTATGAAATATATTCTGGAGTGTCTTTTGCTTATTTTAACTCTTTCCGAACGGCAGCATAGTCACTAAGGCAATACCATAACGATAATGTTTTAGTAGACGTAAATATATAATGCTAACACCACTAGTCCATACTCACTGTGGTGTTTTAAAATGCTGCTACTAAGTATTTGAAAAACTTCCAGGTCTTAGTCCTTGGTAGTGAAACTGAATCCCCATAATCTCGTCAGCTTCGAGAGACGACCTCAATTTATGCCTCTGTGCGTCTACGGTATTCTTGCCACGCTTGGAAGATCTTTATGAGATTGAGGAGTGCTGGATAGAAATGGTAGACGGCATGATACTCGGGGACAGTTCTTCTAAGTTCATATGTTTCTGGATAAAACCAAATACTCCTAAGCTCATGATAACCCAAAATTTGGCCTCACTGATATAGTAGATCATTTAGTCAGCGATACTATAAGCGTTTCTGGATGTTGGTCCGCCATGTTTTCCGGCTCATTTCCTAGTAGTCGCCCAAGATGATATGCACTTCGACATTTTTTCCGCCTTGGAGTAAATCGGTTCCTTTAATCTAATAATCATCAACTGGTGCAAGGGATGCAGATTTTAGTTTTTCAATATTCTGTTATATGACAAAGATAAGTATTTTCGCTTCCACCTCTTATGAAGTGAAGCTTTTGCGCAACACCTACCAATACGGATAACCGGTTTGTTTAGTGTTAAAACAAAGATTTCTCAAACCTACAACAGATTTCTAGTCGTTTTCATGGCCTGCGAACTCTACATTTAGATGGATTGTCACATTTTTGAGTCAGTAAGTCATGGTGATTTAGTAATCCACACCATCGTTTTCAACAATAAAACAGATTCCCCACATTGAGTAAATTATCGAAAAAAGTGGTTACCTTAAATGGAACTCCTCGAGTTTTTTGAAATTTGAAACAAGTATTGGAAGTAACTCACGTGTCACGAAAGACAAAACAAAACAGTGGCAAAAAGTCGTGGACGATGGCGGTCCACACTTTGATGAATAGTTATTGTTGTTTTTGTTGCCGACTTGCGCATGAAAGTGATACTTTCAAACATTTTCAAAACTTTTTGCTCAATCCTAGTAGTGTTCTCCGACATCGTTTTACTTGTATTAATGCTAGTGTAGTCACCATTCATCCTTCAGCGCAAGCTCAAGCTTTCAGTTGACTTGACTCACATGACAGATATGAACAGCACAGTATTTTTTGTATTAAGCTTCAATAATACAATTTTCGCTAGAATATGTCCACCGTAGCCTTGTAAATTTTGCCAAAGAATCACATTTGTCTGTACTTATAATGTAACATGATATGGTAAGACACTCTGCTGAACTCGAACATTTTTAAAATTTTGCCCTTCAGATACTGACATAGCAAACGCCGACGATGTAGTGGCATTCTGTTGTCGTGAACATATTTCGCTGATGCTAGTGGGTCGTGAAGCCCCACTGGCAGACGGATTCGTTGATCGGATCTATGGTCGAGTAGCTGTTTTTGGACCTACACAGCGAGGAGCACTGCTTGAAGTAAGAAGGTTGAGGGCACCTAGTTTTAAATATGCAGTTGATTCAGTCATCGCCAAATCTATATTTATGAGAATAGAGGTCGACCTTTGATATCGGCATTAATAATCAAAAATCATCTACAAGCAATCCTCTTCAACGCTTGCGTGAGAATAGTATATCATCTTCAAAAGTAATGGCGAACACTTTGGCCATTTCGCCTTCTCCAGAGCTCACGCGACGCACTGTACCATATCAAATATAATAGTTAAAACTTTCAATCGACTATCTTGAAACCTCGATTAAAATATAATACATCCTGGCAGCATATTTTTCCTATAATTGGGGCGAGTAGCCGAAAGGTTACTTGGTACTGATGAGGTTGTAAGATCAAATCACGTGTCTAGCACTATACAAATGCCATATCAGATCTCATTACCGGCTAAAAATATGCCGCTAGGATATAACAACTAGTTGTTATTTTTTTCAGATTTAGAAAAATTTATTTCATTTCAAACATCAATTCGAACGTTTTTTTTTTCTCGAAGAGAATCCATATTTTATTCCTTATATTGGGAAGGGTCAGTGATGTTTCGTGACGCACTGTCTCTAACGAGCCTCACTCAAGTTAGATAATGAATCAAAGATAAATGCCATAGCATTCGCTATGCTTGCAATTTTTTCCTTTCTAACTTATCCTGAATTTCTGAAAATTATTCAGGATTCATGATGGTTTTTTGCGCCAACGTTTTTGTTTCGTGCCGTTGGATTGTCACTGCCTCCAGAATCGCCACCGTTATGCATTTGTACCGAACAACTAGAAGTGCTTACACAGAAAGAGAAGAAATGAAAGAGTCACTACATTTGGTCGTGGTGGTTTTCACACAAATAAAGTTTGTGACATCTGTTAACAGTGATTTCACTCGTTGAGATAAACACGAATAGAGCAAAATGGGCAGCTTACCACTTATCTTTAGCTTATTTCGATACTGTAGTGTAGGAAGATGGAAATATTTCATCGCTTTTCACCCCATGTGCTCCGTTGTGTAAAAAATGTCAATACCCTAATACTTGAAGTATAGTACGGAAATATTCGGGGACCACAATATCTCTAGGAGGTTTGGAGACTTGAACCCCAGCCCTCTCCCATTCTAAGGGATTGCTCTACCAGTGAGCCATACGCCCACTTAAGGAGTGTCGCGATGGTTTTCCAGTGAACGAAGCTTGTGACATGCGTTCACATTGACGTCGCACTATACGAATAGATGAAAATATATTTCAACTCGTCTCGACGCGAATCCACAAGGCTCATTTGTTGTTCCATCCTATTCGATTTTTAGCGCGGAACAATCGAGGTCGGGTTGGCATGTTGGCGGGTCGCCAAGAGCCGCTTTCGTCATTGGAGGAAAACAATGACTCAGGTCATTACGATTAGTTCTCTAATACATTGCAACGAATCGAATTGGAAATACAGCCTTAGTTCAGTTCAGTTCTCTATCATAGATCAAAAATTGCCGTTTGTAATTATCAGC